TAGTTAGGATGTTAGTTCATCATTTAGTTCATGTTAGGATGTTAGTTCATCATTTAGTTCATGTTAGATAGGATGTTAGTTCATCCTTTAGTTCATTCTAGTCAGGATGTTAGTTCATCCTTTAGTTCATGTTAGTTAGTTAGGATGTTAGTTCATCATTTAGTTCATGTTAGTTAGTTAGGATGTTCGTTCATCCTTTAGTTCATGTTAGTTAGGATGTTAGTTCATCATTTAGTTCATGTTAGGATGTTAGTTCATCCTTTAGTTCATGTTAGTTAGAATGTTAGTTCATCATTTAGTTCATGTTAGGATGTTAGTTCATCCTTTAGTTCATGTACACATCAGTATCTAACCAACAGTTGGATTATTTAAACGTTTAGAGGTCTACGTCCATGAAAAGATGTGCAGATCAGCAGAAGCTCTGCTGGAAGACGTAACCATCACCTCTGGAGGGAAAACGTTTGGTGACTGATCCGTCGTGGTCCTCAAACCGGCAGCAGAACGTTGAGGAGCTTCTTGTCCAAACGAGCGACGCAGCTCAGACACATTTAAACTCTGAGCTGCAGCAGCTCAATGTTCAGGAATAATCTTCTGTAAAGATCAGCTGCTTTGAATTCAGTTTCAGCATAATTTATAATAATAATAAATCATTTTATAATGAAATTAATATGAAGAACCAGCTTGTTGTCGATGTGTCTTGTTTCTGAGCACCTCATCATCATCTTGGACATAGAAAGTTTCTGTTTTTCTCATCACAAAGTCACGGACAGTCACGAACATCTTTACATTTTAAAGTTGATTTCAATAGCGATGAAGGAAAATGGCCGTCGTGCCGTCTTGGCTGACAGGAAGTGACCTCACCTTGCTGTAGTAGGCGTTGCTGCTCTTGGCCACGGCACACTGGCGGTCCACCAGGAAGCAGTACCTCCTCCTCTCTTCGGACAGAGCGTTCTTGTAGCCGTCAGCGATGTAGTTGTCCAGCTCGCTCTGCTTGTTGCTGATGGCCTCCACGTACTGCAGAGACAAACATGGCCGCACGCTGTCATCAGCATCACCTCGACCCTGAACACTCTCAGATTTCACCTGGAGGGGATTAGTTTTTACAGTAATCAGGAATAATTTAATCTGGAGGGGGGAAAATCCTCACTGGGAACAAAAAATACAAAAACCCTTCTGAACCAGTTTAATAAAACAAGTTGGAGCAAACATCAGAAACGATGAATATGACACATAAAAACCCAAACTCCTCTTTATGGCATGCTCTGAACTGAACTCGGCTAAAACATGGCTGGACATCAGACGTAGGTTCGTTTCTTCTCTCAGCCTGCAGACTTTCTTCAGGTGTTTCGTCTAAACAAGAAGAACCGCTCGTCCTCGTGTGCCGTCAGCTCGAGCCACACAGAACCTGTCTTCTGCTGCTGAGGGCGTCAGATAAAGTGAAGCAGCGAGTGTCAGGCGGTGCCAGGTGTCCATGACGTGTTCACAGCAGCAGCCCGCGCGGCGTCGTGCACCCCTGCCCGCTCCAACCACCAGCCGAAGGAGGTCCGGATGTAAAAAACAAGCCGAAGGTGGCAGGAGACTCGAGTCATCCAGAACCGTCAGCGTCACAATCACAGCAACATCACAGAATAATAAAAGCTCCAACGCTCATTAGAAAACGTTTTGGCCTCATTTCCATATTTATCCAAACACAAAACACCGAAGACGAATGAGACGAACGTGGAGAAATAAAGGCTGAATGAAAATGAAGCTTTTCTAATTATTATATAATTTTTACATGTTGATGTTAGAGGAGGAGCATCAGCTGTATGAGTTTGATGCTTCTCAAGACGGTAAATCTACAGTTTTAAGTGTTTCGTCTCCACAACATAAACAAGTCCAGCGCACGACAACCAGCTGAACATTTCCCACCTGAGCGCACGACAACCAGCTGAACATTTACCACCTGAGCGTACGACAACCAGCTGAACATTCACCACCTGAGCGCACGACAACCAGCTGAACATTTACCACCTGAGCGCACAACAACCAGCTGAACATTCACCACCTGAGCGCACGACAACCAGCTGAACATTCACCACCTGAGCGCACAACAACCAGCTGAACATTTATCACCTGAGCGCACAACAACCAGCTGAACATTTACCACCTGAGCGCACAACAACCAGCTGAACATTCACCACCTGAGCGCATGACAACCAGCTGAACATTATCACCTGAGTGCACGACAACCAGCTGAACATTCACCACCTGAGTGCACGACAACCAGCTGAACATTATCACCTGAGTGCACGACAACCAGCTGAACATTCACCACCTGAGCGCACGACAACCAGCTGAACATTTATCACCTGAGCGTACGACAACCAGCTGAACATTTATCACCTGAGCGCACAACAACCAGCTGAACATTTACCACCTGAGCGTTCGACAACCAGCTGAACATTTCCCACCTGAGCGCACAACAACCAGCTGAACATTCATCACCTGAGCGCACGACAACCAGCTGAACATTCACCACCTGAGCGCACGACAACCAGCTGAACATTTACCACCTGAGCGCACAACAACCAGCTGAACATTTATCACCTGAGCGCACAACAACCAGCTGAA